CATGTCTTCAGCAGCAGCTCTGTAGGCAGTGTGGCAGGGAGAAGGTAAGTGAGAACTGGTTTCATTTCTCCAATCTGAAGTCTGAAGAAATTGATTCCCCATAGCAGAGAAAACAGTAGTCATTGGTGAGCTCATCATGCTTTTCGCTTTTGTGCCAGGAACCAGTGAGTGAGACCAACTCAGGCAAAGTCTTTTTAAAGCATTTGCAAGGGGCTTTACTTAGTTGCTGAGATTCCCTTGGGTGCCAGGGCTCTAAGTGAATGAGCCTGTGTTGCAAACAGCCTTATATGTGGCAGCACAGGTAGCACTGGCCTCTGCCAGGAAGCCACCTCCCTGGAGGTAAACTCACTCCCTCCCAGAGGGCGATTGGGTATGATGCTCTGCAGCCTGAGTCCATTCTTAGTTCAAGCTGGGAATGAAGGGGTTGCCTGAGGTCACTTGTATCTTTTCTTGCCTGCTTCTCATGCACACACCCTCCACTGCACCAAACCACCCTGTTGGTGTTTCCGTTTTTTTTTAGGACAATGCAGCCATTAAGTGAAGCCTGTTGGGAGATATTTTTTTTTCTGCCTTAGGAGTGGTATTCCCTTCTTTTGTAAGCTCCTAGATGACTCTTAATGTAACTACTTTTGATCATATGATAGCAGGCTAATTCTCTTCTGTAAGCAAAACTGAGAGGAACTCCACTTTTAATAGGGTGGGGGTTTTATATTGTCTGGTGTATTTCAGGACTTTAGATGCTAAGGGTGATGGAACCCTTAAGGACCTGAGCAATGCTGGCTGCAGCTAGTTATCATTACTCAATTAATAAGCAGTAGTGTGAGAAAGACAGATTTATTTTTTTGTCTCTGTTTTTTTAATATCTGCTGGTTTGTCTTTCATGTTAAAACTTCCTTGAAGGTGTAAGCTTTACACTCAGTTCTTCTTAAATACCATCTGGTTATTCTACACAACTCATCTTTCCTTACTGGATATTGATGCAAAATCAAATGCATGGGGAAGTTTTGTCCATGTTTCCATCTGGCATGGTAGGAGTCCTTAGCCTGACAGAAGGCATGTCTGGTGCTGGAGCTGAAGGACTGAGGTGTAAGACTGAGATCCTCATCAACAGGAGGCTGCTGTCTTTGAATTTCAGATCTGGTGCATTTCCTGAGGAAAGACTAGAGGGTGGATGGGCGCCTATCCTTTTTCTGGCTTGATTTGTGCCGTGGCTTCTAAACATCTATGTGAATTTGAGTTTTACTTCTCTTTAATTTTGCACATTAGGGTACCGAGCGTATGGGGCACAGTCCTGTGTAACCTGTTCTAATTGACCCACCTTGAGCAGGGGCTTAGACTAGACCAAGAAGTGTCTTCCAATCTAAACAGTTCTGTGATTTGTATGCTGTAGTTGAAGCCATGATCTAGTGGGATCTTTGACGTGGAGGTCAAGCTTTCTGCTATAGCAATGCCACAGTTCTGAGTTTGTGAGGAAAACGAGGCTGTACTGCCTCAGACAAAAGTAAATCTATGGCTAATATAAGACAGGGACTGTGCAAGGAAGGCTGGACACCTGAGACCACTGTGTTTAGTGGAATGCTTTTGAAGAGAGAAAAGTGTTGCTGTTAAAGCCTGGGAAAAGTCAAGGGAGAAGGCATTTATCTCCCAGCTAGTCAGAGCACTAGTCTTTGATTCCCTATATCTTTATAGTTTCTGGAAATTCTTATTATCCATACAGACAGACAATCCTTTTTTTATCTTCCATTAATCTTTGCCTGTGTGGTATAGTATAGAAAGGAGTTTCACATGTAAAATTTCAACTCTGTAAGATAAAGGATTAGTCTGCTATGAATGATGATTCTCTGTTAGGGAGCATGCGAGCTAGGGTCTCATACAAAGGAGCTTGGGAGACTTCAGTTCCCACAACATGGATATAATTTGTGGAAGGATTTACTAATAAAAAGAGAATGTAACATTACTAAAATAGACGACCATGCTAAATGACAAATGTGAGGAAAATGATGCCTCTGAAGACTGAACAGGAGGATATTTGCTTGAATGTAACTAGCACAAGATCAGAGATGAGAGGACTTTTGAAAGACAGTGCAGGTCATGGGACATTAGAGGCAGTGAGACTTCTGGGTCTTATCTGCTTATTTCATTCATGCACAAAATGAAGAGTTGCTGGATTTTAAGGCTTCTTCTATGGTTAGCCTTTGATCTATATTATGAAAATACTCCAATTTCTGAGAATATTGTCTAGAACAGGGGTAAGACACCATCAGTGGGAATAATGGGAGAAACCAAGTCTGAATGTTGAGCTGGTGTGTTCTTCCAAAAGAAAAGATGGGTGTCAGGAAGAGTGGTCCAGTAGATGTCTGTAATTTGTCTTGATCCTGAAAAACATTTGGTATGTTGCTTGTAAAAGTCATAGTTGGTTAAAGAGTGGGTGCTTACTTTTCCATGGCTAGCATCAGGAGGATGATTAACAAGAGTGTAGGAGCCCTTTTTTACCATAAAGCCTTTTGTCTTGTCCTACCACTTTAAATTCTCTAGTATATAGTATGTGATCAAATCCACAGACTTGGTATCTTTTTGTTTGAAAGGGATTTCTCTTGCAGGTGCTTTGAACAAAGCCTCTAGAGAAGTGTTTGAGGCAACTCATGGGGGATTAGTCTTGAGCTGCTTGTGGGGCTGGGGAGGGCTTAACAGAGGAGAGTTATCAATATGAGACTAGGGCCTAAAAAAAATGGTACAAGGAGTGAATATTTTGGAAGCTCCAGAATGTTAGGCATGAAGACCTTCAAAATGTCAATCATTGACTGAAATCCAACTCCTATCTTAAGCATCTAAAGCCAGTGACATTGTACAGTATCTCTTTGACCTGCATGTGCTAGATGTCATTGCCTCTTGTTTAGAAGTAGTGCCATGCAATGTATTGACATTTACATAGTACAAAAACTGAAGCAGATACGTTTCCCACGCAGAGCTGTTAAACCTCACTGTAAACCCTGCCACATCCAAATGAAAGGTTTTTGTGTGGGAATGAGCCACAGACTAAAGTCAGTACCTCTTGAGTTAGAATTGGAGCCTTAGCTTTTGTAATGAAGACAGGACCACTGTCTGTCTGTACAGCAGCTAGCACAATGGCACCTCAGTGTCAGCTGTCCCCTCTATGAACTACCATGGCACAAACAAGGTATTATACCTGTTCTGGGGACAGCTAGAAGTCTGTTAATTTGGCAGTGTTCCTCAGTGCCAGCTGCCTTTATTAAATGATGCATGTGTGTGAGTGCGTACAAGAAAATTGTAGTTGTGGTGGGAAAAACAACCCCCTGCATTTCCAAGAATATCAGCAATGGGGGTAAATCTGTGCCACTTTTCTCATTTGTCATTTGACAGTTGGGAAAGTAATTTAAAAACTATTAAGGAAGGAAAATATTTTCTGTTTTCTTAAAGGGCAATGTAAATACAGAAAGGCAAAAGGTAGCTTTAAAAAAAGGAGGAGAAAAAAGGTGTCAACAGGCTTTTGGGGGAACCAAACCCTCAAACAAAATCCTGGAGGATGGTCACAAAAGAGGTCTGTTTCCTTAGGAGTTATCAAATTCAGTATCAATCAGAATTTTTCCACTATTTCTGTTTCTCTGCATCAGCTGTATGTGTCTTTCATAGGCACCTAGTTAAGTGCAGTTGCTGTTCTGGGTCTCTGGGAGGCTGAAACACTTCAAGGACATTTTCCTAGGAACAGTGGTGGAGGTAAAATGGGTCAGTATCAGTGTAATGATTGCATGTTGCCTCATCTATAAAAGTCAAATACAGCACATCAGACACTTTTAAAATGGAAACACTCCATGTAACCTTTTGAAACACATTGACACTGGATTCTTTTTGTGGGCAAGTAGCTTGAGACTCATCTAAGAATGATGTTAATGTTTGTTGTTCTAAATAAAAAGGTATAAGGAATAATAAAGCTCATCTTGCCCGTGATTGTGTTATTCCAGAACTGTCTTACAAAAGCTTCTTTCGAAGTATTGCATTTTCATTTGACTTACTGGTTTTATCCCTTGCCAGAGACACATACTAAGCTGCATAGCTCAGAGATTTGATCTTAAAACTTTCAGGTATGCTCTGTGCAGCAGAAAAGTCACTCTAGGAACTGGGTAGGTAGGGCTTCCTCTATGTAGGAAACTCAGCAGCAATGGGATCTATCTGACTCAGAAAAACTTGGTTACAGATCTCAACCTCTCTCAAGGGGCAACTACCAAGTTTGTTCAGTGTTAGAATGTGTTTTGAGTAGGTGGGTATTGGGGTATACAGTAAGTGGTTTGAAGTCCATTGGCTGATCCAGAGCAGATGTTCCTGAAAATTCCTGGTAGACAAAGTATGTGAATTGTGGTTAGTCTTGGCACACTTAAGGGTGTTCAGTGGTACTGTAAGATTTTGTGCTGGTGGGGACAGTTGTTTGCATTTCTGTTAAATCTTGTTTCTTTCTATTACATTCTTCAGCAAGCTGAGTTTATTCTTTGGCTTATGTGTGTGTGCCTTCAAGGGGGAAGTGTGGATGCATACATAGGATGGCTAAAGTTAACGTGCCACTTCCATTTGTGGGTGCCTTGCAAGATGATGGTGCTGTTTACAGGATGTGACTTTATTTTGGTGGTGGGTTTTGGAGAGTCAGTTGTCCACATGTGGATGTGGTAGGCCATGATGGTTATAAGCTTTGTGTTTAGGAGGCTGAGGGCAGGGTATGTTTGTTGTGCTTGGGGAAAGAGTTGGCGGTGCAGTAAGGTGGAAATAGTGGTAGGCTGTGTGTTTTGTGTTGCTGCAAGTAAGAGATATGACAAGAGTTTGAGGTTGGGAGATGAGGATGTGTATGCAGGGAGGTGCTACAGCCACATGTGTGCGGTTAGGTGGGGTGGATGCCTGCAGGATATGAGAGGGGGGGTGTCGGGGAAGTGGCTTGGGCAGCAGCATGCGATGTTCAGTGTTCATGAAGCCTTTTCTTTCTCCTTATCCCCTAGATCTCCTACCCCCCAAGTGATGAGGACAGTGACGACTCTGAGGGAGAGAACCAGGAACTTGCTCAGATCGACAGAGGTAAAGGGATGAGATACAAGGGTCCCGGGATGCTACAGCTGAAATCCATTTTGCTTTTCATTTGTGCTCTTGGATGTGCCTTCTCCATCCCCAATGTACCACAACCAGATGCATTACATCAGTCACCTTGAAGGCTTTGAGACCTCACAGGGAGAAGCTGGTGTTATCAGATGCTGCAGGTGCACTTTTCTTACCAGGGATGGATGTTAACCACATAAGGCCCCAGTGCTACATACATGGGGTAGAGAAAGTCTAAAATTGGGCCAGCAGCAGAGCTGGGACTAAAAATTTATCTTCTATTCCATGCTTGTGTACCTGTGTCACCTTTGTTCTAGGTTTCTGCTTCCTTGCTATTTTGGGTTTTAATCTTCACTTCCTTAATTCCCCTGGACTCATTGATTAGCTTGTTCTTTTCCTCCTGTACTGTTGGTATTGGGCAGCCCTATTCTTGAATCTAGATGAGAGTCTTTGTTAGAGGAGAGACAGATGCTCTGCTATTGTTTTGGACCTGGTATGAAGCAGCTTAGAGCTGCTGGTGAAACCTGTAGTAAATGCAACTGTTGAGCTATGCTGCCTTTGCCATTTGTGCATGCCCTGTGTTTTATTGTTGTTTAGCCAAATTCAGGTGGATTATTATGCAAAGGCTGAAGTTGTTATATTGCTGACCCATAGGTCATGTCGTGTCAAAATTCAAATCCCTGTTCTATGTGCTTAACATAGTAGCTCAGCAGAACAGGTAGAGCATGCACAGCTTATGGCTGAAGGCAAGGCTCTCTTTTATGACAAGCAATGTAATAGAAAGACGACTTTTACTTCCAGAAACAAGATCTCTCTTAATTTGAGCCACAGACATACTGCTTAGAATAAAGCAACTTGCTTGCTTCCTCTGCCCTGAAAACTGGTCACTAGAACTTAATGTTTTTAGCTGGAAGCAGGTGCCTAACAACACATTTGTAAGATCATGTTTTCTCCATGCTCAGGGATTGAGGTTGGTGGCAGGTCCATGTTCTTGCTCTGCAACTAGACTTTCAGGTGGTAGTTTGCGGGGGGATGTCTAGCATTCTGGTCTAAACAAAGGTATGGAAACTTCCAAAGGGAAGCATTCAGCTGGGTGGTGTTTCTTCTTGGGAGGAAAAGATGGGAGAACAGCTCGAAGTTTACTTTGGAGGAGATTAAAAAAAAAAAACCCACAGGTCAGGAGAAAGCATGCCTGGTTATTAGGGCATGGGACACAGATCTGCTCTGCCACTCCTCTATCTCCTCCTCCCACCAGAGAGAAGACGGAATTGTACCTTGACCCCTCTGGCCACCAACCAGCTCCAGAACCAGGAGAACCAATGCTGCAAGGTTCGGGCCCTCTTCCATGCCAGCCTTGACCGCCACAGCTCAGAAGAGGAGCTGGAGCGCATCAACCGAGAGTTCGCCGCTGAGAAGCGGAAGTGGTCCCAGGTCAGCAGGCTTGCCTGCTGCAGTGACAGCAACTACACCTCCTCCAGTGACGAAGAAGTGAAGAACTTGTGTGCAATGTCCTTCCGGCCTGTGGCAGAGCACGCTGATGGCCTGCATGCCAGCCCAAGCCCTGTGCTGTTCAGTGCCTCCCCTCCCAAGAGACTCCAGCCCCTAGTGCGGAGCCCAGCCTCCAGACCTTTAATCTTAAAAAGTGTTGGGGCGGGCCTTGAGCAAGTCATGCCTTGTAAGAGACATCGACAAGGATATGGGGATAAGGTCAGCAGGCCCAGCCTTGACCTGGAAAAAATGCAGCAGGTAAGGCAGAACTTCATATGAGGGGAAAGCAGCATCACTTGAGAGAAGGTGGTGTAGGCAGAGACAGAAAAGGGTTATTGAGGAAGGGTTCAGAAAATTAATAGGGTTGCTTTTTGTGATCATATCTTCAGGGACATAACTGGTACTTCTGCTGTCTAGACTAAACTAGGCCTAAGTGTAGATACCTCTCTTGAGGTAAAGCCACTGCTACTTGAGTGGCTTTTGCTACAGTTGGGCTGTTCTATTGCTACCCCCATTAGGAAAGCAGCATCTGTACTGTCCAGTTCATTGCATGACACAGGAACAAAGTCACTGGATTTCACTTTTGTCAGGTTACCCCTGCTGCTGTGATCTGACCCATACCATTTACTCCAAAATAAATTAATTGCTTAGGGGTGTATAAAGAAATTGTGATAAAAGTGGTTGTAGACTTGATGATAGATATCTCCACACTTGTTGACCTCCTTGAGCCCAAGAGTCTCTTTATGCCTCCTTGGAGTTTTCCAGGAATGTAAAACAGTGCTTTCTGCCTTCTTGTGTTTGTAAAGTGTTAAGGTCTTTACAGTTTGCTCTAGATCCATTTAGTCTTGATTTTGCAGGACTTCCGTAGGTGCTGGGGATTGAGATGTGTACATGCTAGGAGTTTGTCTCATCTCTGCAGAGGCTGGGAAATGGGGCATGCCTGGTACTGGTGGGGTGGGCTGCCCTGCGCAGTGCCCATCTGGTGCCTCTCTTTCAGAAGGTGTTGCTGTAGAGTTAGTATTTCAGCTTTCTCTTCATTATTTGTTTTTCTTCTTGCACTGGTGTAGTGTCAGTTTGAAAGAGTATCTGCAGACATCTGCTGACCCTGGTAAATTGCATTAACTTAAAAGACATTTGTTTTCAGTTCTGAATTTCCTCTCATTAGGGAAGAATTTCACTGCCTCTGGTTGGATGTACTAGTTTTAATCTCACTACCACTACCCTCTTTAAGCCTACAAGGTGGACCCTCTAAAAGAAAAGACTATGTATTTTATTTTCCAAGATTTATGAAAGTGAGACCCCCTCTGTTTCCCCATTACATTGTTCCTTGTTCTCAGTCCTGCTGGCAGCATACATCCCATGAATACATAATGCAGAGACTTCTGGTTTCAGTACAGTTTTACTCACCCCCTCTTCACCCTTCTCGCCAAGTTTCTGCTCACAGAACATTCAAAAGACCCAGTCTTGCATTTCACATCACCCAAATCTTCTACTGATGCTGACAGACTTTAATTAGTGCCACATCCTAATGAGAAGAGAAAGCTGGTAAGCCTGTGCCCAGCCCCCTTTTCAGAGTTCATGTGAGTAAATAGAGAAATGTTCCTTTTGGCCCAGGTGCTTTCTCTGACTTGGATCCCAGGCACAGCATCCACCTGCTCTGCCTTAAGTTCCTTTCAGCAGTGTTTGGGAGTGTGTTGGTGAAGGTTAGGGACTAATTTAAATAAGCTTTCCAAACTGTTGTGGCTTTTCTGGGAAACCTTGTGAGAATGATTTGTTTCCTGGTCTGTTTGCTCTTTACACTTCTAGATTAATTGTGGCAAAAATTTTTGCAAAAAGTTGAGATCTGGAGTGATGATGGGCGTGTGTTTTTAAATAATGTTTTACTGTAGATGTCATTAACACTTCCAGGTTGTGGAATCCATGTTATAAAGAAAGGATATTTAGCTAGTGGTTTTAATTTAAAAGTGTACTTTTTGGGGGGAGGTGGGGAACATGAGAAGTGATGTGAAGTCTGAATACTGTAACACTGTTTGGTCATTTGTATTATTTTTATAGTTGGTTAATTTTCAACCAGTAACATCTTGCAGCTTTATGATGACTTCTTACTTGCTACTTGTTGCTGCTACAAAAATCATGATAGAAATAACAGTAGTGTTGCAGATTCAGTCTTCTGGTGACACTTGGATTCTCATCAGCTTAGCTAAAATCAGTGATCTCATTTATCTGAAATCTGAGTTGTTTTGAGTTCTGCCACAAAATCCTTGTATGAAGTTGGGCAAGTGTCATTCAGTACCTCCATTCCCCCACCTGATTCGCTAACAAAAATACCTCTTATATTAACCACCTGGGTAGCACTTGGCATCATGTGTGTTTTAGTCAAGATAAGCAATGCAAATAAGGAATGATAATATTAAAGTGGCTACTCTAAGGCTTCATCTGGGCTCTGAACATCAAGCTATTCTTGCTTTGCAATTCTTAGCCTTACTATCATGTGCTTGCGCATGAGAACGCATCTGAAAGCTTGATCATATTGAAAGTTTTTTGAGCAGCAGATGTGGCTTTCACTCTTGTCCCTGAGCCTTACTTTCCATTCCTGCAGCTCTGTGGAACTGATAGATGACAAAGTATCAGACAAGATTAATTTGTGCCAGAAGCAAATGTGTTCTGAGACGACACTTTTTGGGTGCATGATGTGTTATGGGATGCTCAGTGGTGGATGAAGAGATTTGGAGTGCTTTGTCTTTGCATCAAATCCTGTTCATGTTAGATGGTGATCAAACATTGGTCCAAAGAGTTGTGGTGTGGAGTGGTGCTGTGTTGGGATGCCTAAGCTATTCCTTGCACTGAACAGACAAGGCAGCTTTTGTAGGAAGGCCTTGCAACAGTGGTATGTGGTATCCAAATGTGTTCCAGTGTTTGGATGCCCTTTTGGTAAAGAAGGGGAGCAAATTTTGTAGACACAAGTGGGTTGGGAGCAATCTGAGTGCTGTCAAGGGGTTAGGGAATTGCTGTGCTTCTACCTCCATGGCCTGTGGATAAATGGAAACTTCTATTATCTGGGCCTTTCAGTTCAGCCTCCCTTAGCAGGAAAGTCTGCATAAGAGAAGGTTTAAAAAGTCCCTTCCGGTTAGGTTGCAGGCCATGCCTTTGCAGCTTCATGGGGCACTATGATTCTGCTCATTTGTGCCCCAGCCATGAGTTTGGATAGTTGGCAAGTATATTTGCCCCTCTGGCTGTCTGGCGAGCTGGCCACCCAGCCTCTTCACTATTGAGGCTGAGTGAGGGCAATTCAATGCACGCTTATTTTCACTCCTCCAAAGGGCTAGAAAATTAGCACAGAACACTTTTCTTCCTTTCTTTCATCTAATTGGGCAGAAATACCTTGGCTCATGCAGATACCTGCGTTGCTGCAGTGAATGCCCTCTCCCAGCCACCCCTTAACCCCTTGATTACTGTGTTCAGTTTTGGGCTCCTCACTACAAAAAGGACATTGAATCACTCGAGCGTGTCCAAAGAAGGGCAACGAAGCTGGTGAAGGGTCTGAGGCACAGGTCGTATGAGGAGCAGCTGAGGGAACTGGGGGTGTTGAGTCTGAAGAAGAGGAGACTGAGGGGAGACCTCATTGCTCTCTACAGCTACCTGAAAGGAGGTTGCAGAGATCTGGGGATGAGTCTCTTTAACCAAGTAATAAGCGATAGGGCAGGAGGGGAATGGCCTCAAGTTCCTCCAGGGAAGGTTTAGACTGGATATTAGGAAGTATTTCTTCATGGGACAGGCTGTTAGGTGTTGGAATGGGCTACCCAGGGAGGTGGTGGAGTCCTCATCCCTGGAGGTGTTTAAGAGTTGGGCTGACATAGCGCTGAGGGATATGGTGTAGTTGGGAACTGTCAGTGTTAGGCTAATGGTTGGATTAGATGATCTTCAAGGTCTTTTCCAACCTAGATTATTCTGTGATGGTCCTTGGACAGTGTTATTACATGCAGGCCCTGCTGCCAGCCAGTTGCTATTTAATGAGGGCTATGCATGTCCTAGAAAGACTGTCTGCTGCCACCTTGTTAACTTCAGCAGATCTGGCTTTTTTTGGCAGTGCTGAGAGCATGAGGTCATAGAGAGCAGGGACATCCTTTGGCTCGAGGTGAAGGCGCCAGGGGATGCAAGCATCAGCTGAGGTGTAAGGAAGTCTGGGGTGTCACAAAGACTCCTTGGAGCTGTTGAGCTCATTCCCAGGGGATGAGACTAACTTGTCTTGGCACATTGTGTAAACTGATAGATAGGAAGTAAAGGTTCCATCCTCCTGTGCTGTTTAGTGTGACTGCCTGGAGTCCTTTGAAATCTACATTCAGCAGCTTGAGAAGTCAGTGTAGCATTTGCAGGGAGAGATCATGAGAGATCTGTCTTGGAGGAGAGTAGCTTTGTGCTGGTGTGATGAGCAATCCAAATTGTCCTCATTTACATGTGGGTAGGTGGCTGGTAAGGAAAGCATCATTTTAAAGTAAAAGGCAGAGAGTTTGGGTACATGGGTGTATTTCCAGTTATGCTATAAAGTCACTAGGTAGTTCTGAGCAAGTTGTGAAACTGTTCTGTTATGGTTTGCTTGCATGTATGAGTAGATATTATCAATATTGTTGTCTTATGGAGGCTTAATGCATTATTTAAAATGTTTTGAGATGCTTAGATGAAAAAGGTCAGTATAGAAGAGAAAAACAGATCCTGTGCTAGCATTTGTATTTTTCATGGCAGACACTGTACCTCTTTGGTGGGCAAGTAGTTTCAGTGCATGACAGGTAGGTGGAACTTGGTCTTGGCTTGATGCTGAAAGTGGCCTGGGTAGAGTGTGAGCCCTAGTCTGGGTTTAGCTGTGTAATATCAAGCCCAACAGTCCTTATCTTCAATATTTCAATACTGGCATTTTGGTTGGACTGGGCCTGGTAGGGCGATTGGCACTGAAAGCTTTCTTTGGGCCGATACTGGTTGCACAGAGGCTGCAGGATGGACTTACCACATGTGACCAAGGACCAATGTGTGACCTCTGGTATGCTGGGGTCTGAGCTTTGGGCTGCTAATGGCTCCAGGGTGAGATTTCGATATCCTTAGAGCAGCTGGGTTTTGCCCTTGCCTGTCTCTCCAAGACTTGACAAATAGCTTCCAGATAGAGAATGTGTGAGCTTGTAAGTCCTTTTCACCTCTCGGCCTCCCATTTGAATCCAGACCTTGTCAGTTCCTGCAAATTGTTATCATCTGTTTGCCCATCTGAGCTT